AACCTGGAATTAACCCGACTTGGTTGGGGTGGATTATATTTTCTCTAAAATCTTTGCAATGGTATGTATTAACAATGTTGACATATAATTGCTGACCTCAATTTGTTCCTTATCCTTGGGTGAAGGACAATATTAGCTAGTTGGTATCTGGATAAAAAGTCTTGCAATCTCTGAGCGTATTAAAGAGAATAACCAAGTGAGGAGATCCTGGGGTCTTAGATCCCTTAACGGAGAAGCTGACAGTCAATGATCTTCCTGTGTAATCTAATCACCCAAGGATGCCACAAAGTTGCTCAGGAGCTCAGGTGTAGATTGTGGATAAACCCCTGAAGGTTCAATATATGCTCTGTCTTAATTTCAGTTAAACCAGAAGAGTAGCTATGCAGGGCAGTTTAAAACTCAATAAACATTTCCATATTCGCTACTGAAGTTGTACATTGTCCTGATGGTTGATATAGGATTAGATTTAGTCTTTGTGCAAGGCATCTACTAGAAAAGTGTCCATCTTATTTGAGTTTTCATATCAATAATGCATGGTCCAACTGGTTACAACATCCAAAAATAGTTGTATTATCAATCTGTATACCACACTTACATCAGTAAAAGTCCATTGAGCAGGAAAGAACTTATGCCTAGACTCCAATCCTCCAATTTATATAGAGCAGCTTGAAGGTCAAGCAGCTTATTTTTCAAATGCTTCCTATAAGAGAACACCTTAATAAAGTAAACCCTTATTGCTTCCTTAAGAGCAGATCTTAGAGTGGAATCAGGTATCTAAATCATTGCAACATATAGTGGCCCCCTTATCCCAAAAGGTTGGTGAACACTCATCCTTTAATACATAGAGATGTTCACATACACAGAGCCTATTATGAATGGCTCAAATCACAACTGTCCTTTTATGGGATTGTATTTTTGAGACTGTATAGTTCCTCTACTCTTTGATGAAGGATAAACACAAGGGAGAAACTAGAATTGGTGTAGTATGTTCATTATAATAATAAAAAGTATTATATTATTAATTATTAATAATAAAATAAATAAACCACATGTACTGTTTTAACCTGTGTGAAAAGTCTTATGCAACTGGTTAACACAATTTTCAGTATAAGTTTTCAATTACACTTATTCCCCCTTTGCTCTAGAACCCAGTATGGCAGCTTTTGATGGATCCAGCATAAAACCAACTACAAATCAAATCAAACAAGATTATAAAAATAAAAAAAACATGACGTAATGGAGTCCTTCAATCCCAAAACATATTTTGCTATTTTCACATCTTCATCAGTTTTAATATCCTGCTACAAGTAGAAGTCATTTTTACCACCTGTAAGAAGTGGTAAAGTCTACCCCATGATACATATTTTATAATAAAATATATTAATAAAATACACGTTATTACACTATATTAATATTCCAACCTTATACTGAAACTAAACTAAAAAAAAAACTTTTAAAAAAAGATACTGGCTATAGAGTTGCAAAAGGGTAACTGAGGTGTGTAACGTGGGAGGTATGTTGTTCTATAAGCTCACGTCATACCAGTTCTTTTTATGAGCAAATCACCATAAGAAATGAACCCACCAGTATCATAAAGTTTACAGTTAGAGTATTTTACAGCCAGAATATCAATGCTTGATGCAGCAAACCATATCCAAACTGATCTGATGTCCCAGTGTAGTTAAACTCATGAAAAAATGCAGGGTTGTCTCTTTGGTCCTCTTCCTTCTCTGGGGATTTTCATGATCGATAATGTCCCATTAAAGAAGGTAGACAATAGATGAAACAGGCCATCATGAACCATATCAGTAGTTGAAATAGTACCTTCATGCACCAGATCACTAATACTATGCAGGCATCTCAAAATACATTTACATTTCCAAATATTCGCTACAATGAAAAAGAGAAAGCAATAAGCTTATATTGTTTCCCAGTATAGATAACAAGTATACAAATGTAATTCCCATATTCACTTCTGTCTTACACCACATCCTGTGTTGTGATCTTATAGAAAAGTATGTAAATAGGTAATAATGCCAAGTGAGGCCAGTCATGCCGTAGAGTGTATTTTTTTAACTATAGGTATACATTTGCAAGCTAGTTGCTAGTTATTTAGTTTGCATAATACATGGACACATTTATTTAGAAATTAATATGGCTCTTTTTACTAGCTGTATTAATCAATAACCATTATATTGACTATACAAATCAGACATTTATATTCACAGTTTTGTATATTGAAATGGTTACAATTAATGTAAAAGTAAAAGCGAAATCTTTTTTTATCAACAAAATGTTTTGTGGATTGTGACATTCTGTCTCACGAGCTAAAATCAAATATGTGACACATGGTTCTAGTCAAATTCCAAACTGTGGCAAAAAAAATAAAACAGAGTCTGCATGCTTGGCAGGAATTACCATGATTGTAAGTCAGTGTTTGGTTCAGCAAACACTGAAGAGACACTGGGTGCTTTTGATAAGAAAATAAAACATGAACAAGGGGCAAATGTAATATGTCCCTTGCATTTAGACAAACCAGACAATGGACTCCCCCTTCACATGTGGCCCCTTCCTTTTTGATGAAAGCATTAAGGCAAATTAATTGATTTAGTAATAGGCATGCTTTAGAAGAAACAAAGTATTTAGAAGAATGTTCATTTCATACACAATATTTTTGCGCTTTTGCATAAAATTTAGTTTGTGTTTCTCTCTCTCTAAAGAGTACTAAGAGGAAAACTGTTCCAATGAAAAACTGGGAAATTTCTCTGTGGATGTAGCTTGTACAAGGCTGGTGGCTGCTGTGAATGAAACATAAAAAACAATATATATATTTGAAGGACTGGGCGCTGCTATTGACGGGGTGATGTGAGAAGTGACAGCAGCCATTCACCCCCTTAAAGCACAGAGCTAAAGGTATATGCAAGTATATTGGTCAGTAAGAGATAGTGTGTGTGAGAGAGTAGGTATGGGTCAGTGAGTATGTGTGTATGGCTCTGTGACTTTCTATGGCTCAGTAAATATGTGTGCATATGGGGTACAGTGTGTGTTTGTGTGTGCAGACACCGCAATCTGTTGAAGTCAAGTGAACTAACAAGGGACACAGGCGACACTCCAAAGGTCTAAGATGGTTCTTTTTATTAGAGGATGAAAATGAAGGAAAGGGACCTCAGTTAAGAAAAAGGATAAATTAGTCATTTATTACACATATTTACAAAATAATGGGTAATACTATTATTCTGTATTGAGTGCTCTCACCATTTTTTATCTATTTATCACTTGTGCTTCCAAAGCTGCCTCTGGCAGGGAATGGTTGTCAGTGAGTGAGTTAATTGCTTTTAGAAAAGGGTCAGTCAATACGGTGAAGGTTTTATATCTTGGATTTTGGTTAAGGGTATCATGTGTACCGTCTTCACAAATTCCTCCTTGGTTGTGGGTGCGTCGAGGCAGTGTTTCAGGTTCTGTGGGACCGTCCGTGTTATTCTCGAGTTAGAAAGTCTTCAGTGTCTGTTTGTGTTTTAGGGGAGTCTCTTAAGTTGTATAGGTCCATGTAAAATTGGTGAAAAGCTTCTATTATGTCCGGGAGTGTGTGAGATAAGCCCTTTCTTGGGTGTTTGACTTTGCCTATAAACGTGATATGGTGAGTTTGCTTTAGTGTGTTGGTCAGTAGGCACCTGCATTTATTGCCCATGGAGTAATAGGGCTGTTTTGTCCATAAGAGTTTACTTTTGACTTGAGAGTTTAATATGTGTTGCAGTTCAGATCTTTTTTTAACTAGCGAGGTGTATGTGTGTAATGTGGTATCTGTTTTGTGTCATTTTTCTAAATCCCTGTTCTCCTCTGTAAGTTTTTTTTACTTTGGCTTTGCATATTTTTTTCGCATTTAGAGGCCATGGCTATGAGTAGACCCCTAATCACACACTTGTGTGCTTCCCAAGTGACTGGGGGGGGGGGAATTGAGGGATTGGCGTTTTCCTGGAATTAGTGGCAGATTTCGTTTTTTACCTGTTGTACTTCTTCTTTATCATTAAGCAGTTGGTTGTTAAGCTTTCATTGGGAAGATTGTATTGGTAGTGATGAGATTTGGATAACTAGGGATAGCTGGGCATGGTAGGACAATGTGATGCCATATGTGCAAAACTTCATTAGATGCAAGAATCTATGGGGGAGAAACAAAATGTCCAATCTGAAGTGTGTGTTACTGGGGAGTAAAATTAGTAGTCTCTCCTTTGTGGGTGGATAATGGGCCAGCACTCAAAGAGTTGGGATTGGTCCATGAGGTGCATGATCAGGTGACGCGTGGGGTTTAAATGTGTCATTGACTTTGAGGTCGTGTCAAGTGGCAAGTCAAAAGCTACATTGCAGTCCCTTCCCATCAACAATATGCCCTCTCTGAATTGTTCAATTAAGGTTAAGCATTTCTTAAGATGTCTACATTGATGCCTGTTGGGAAAATACATATTGACAAAAGTAAACACATTATGACCTATTTTACCCTTTACCATCAATAACTTTTCGGAGTCTTCTGTTTTGTGCTCTATCGTTGTGTAAACGACAATTGCACTGAGAACAGAATGGTCACCCCCCCGTGATTTTGTCTCAGAGAAATTGCATCCAGTAGGATATTTATGGTTGCGTAAGTTAGGTGCTGCATCTTTTCTGAAATGGATTTCCTGAAGGAAGGCAACATTGGCTTTGAGCCTTGTTTATTCTGATAGAGCCAGGGAGCGCTTTTCTGGGGTGTTGAGCCCCCAGACATTCAGAGTTATTATGCGCAGGGGGCACCCAATCACACCATGCCCCCACCCCCTTTGCGTGAGTCCCAATCTCAGATAGACTCCTATTAGTCAATTAGTACACTGTACTGTACTCCGAGTAATAAAAAAATCAAACAACAGATTTTAACTATATACAAAAGGGTTGTACAATAGATACTGTATGGATTATAGTAGTATATCACTTTACGAAGTAGTCGTAAAAGCACCCATGGGTGGCTATCTAGAGTCAAACTACTCTGTTTGCCAGAGAATCTGCTTAGCCCTGCGGGATAGTTTGTTATAACCTATTTACATAGCTGTGATTCTGTTTTAAATCACTTTGCAATATGGGTGAGGGAGTTTGTAGTGGGGTGGTGATGTCAACAGGGTAAATACTGAAGTATGCAAGCCTTAATGCCTGATATCCAGGTCTGGTGGAAATTCTTCATATGAGGGTCTATAACACTTAGTGGGCACGTCGGATCTATTGGCACCGGGAAGCATAGAGTGGGGCAAATTTCCTGCTATGAGATGTGTGGGTGCCCCGGTCATAAGAGTTATTCTATGCATACAAGTCTCGGGGCTGGCAAGCGGTGGCGACCTAATCAGGGAGGGGAGAGTTAACTAGGAAGGTTTGGCACACACCCGGTCACATCCATAGTACCTCCTAACTTGTGAGAGAGCTAAATGACATTCTTACTATAGCTCCCACATCGTCCATCGTTCCTTGCGCGCATCAATAATTTAGTCCCCTGCCTACCTGGCAGTCCCGATATGTAGTAGACGATTCATGGGGGCTGATAGTGTCTCTTAGTGGTAAGAGGAAGATTCAGATCTTGTAGCTGTCCTCTGCATTGCTTCCACTGGGTCTGTTCGCCTCTTCTTCGTCATCTGTTACCATATCTGCCTTTGTGGTAGTTGAGAAGTTGCTGGGCCAGCAGGGTGACCATACCAATCCTCAATCTGCGTAACCGGGAGGTCTAAGGCTTGTTGAAACACCGGTCCATTCAGTAGCGAGTGGATAGTGTGCGTCAAGCCTTTACAAGAGACACTTAAGGCAAAGGGAAAGCCCATTTGTATTTGATATTCTGGGCTCTGAGTTGGTCTGTGAGGGGTCTGAGAGATCTTCTAGCTTGCAGTCCAGGTAGATATTGATTGGTTTGTTATGAAAAAGCAGGGGTTGGGTGGATTGTCTGAGTGCTGTTAAGATGTCTTCCTTGCATTGTAAGTAATGCAGCCTGCATATTATGTCCCTGGTTTTATCCGCTGCTATGCCTTTAGGCATCAATGCCCTGTGTGCATGATCAAGTAACACAGGAGAGTCATACTGTCTGCTCAGGATGAAGTTAAAATGTTCTTTCAAAATCTTTGGTATATCCTTCAAGTCCTGTTCAGGGATCCCCCTGATCCTTAAGTTATTCCTTCTCTCCCTGTTGTCTATGTCATCAAGGGAGTGCTGAATGGCTACCAAGTGAGCATTTTGGGCTGCCACTATGTCTTGGATGGAGTTGAGTTGCGTGTATAAGACGTCCCTGTCGTCCTCCAGGGGGCTGACCCTATCCCCCATGTGGTGTATGTCTGCCCCTATGGCATCCATCTTGGCCTGAAACGAGACTTCCAGCTTCCCCAGCATAGTGGCCAGACCTTGCTTTGAGGGAACATTTCTCAGTATGTCCCTTAGTTCCATGTCTGGCCGTTGGCTTAGGTTGGATTTCGCTGGGCTGGAAGGTGGGGAGGCTGATTGGGGCAAGTCCGGCGCCATATTGGGGCATAGATTGTTCACTCGTTGGTCCACATTATCACAGAAATACTTTGTAAGGGCACTGGATTCTCCTGCCGGTGTCTTACCGGAGGTGCCCTGAGACGCTGTGGATCTCTTGGGGTGTCCCATGGTGATGATTAAAGTCTGATTGCAGTAGATTCCTCACTTTAGGCTAAAGAGCTCTGTTAAGCTGCGGCCATTCAGGTCGATGGTTGGCTCCGCCCCCCTTCCCAGAGTTTTTATGACTGTCCAATCACAGACATCCCAATGCAGCTCAATGAAACATTTTTGTTTGACATGGGTAGTTATGTGGAACTAATAGGACCACATGTCTGACAGCTTAGGGTGTAACAAAGTTAATTAATAAAAGGACACAATATTCACATATTAAGCACTTCAACAAGTTAAAGTGATTTAGGTGTATGTAGTATTCCTTTAATAATCTACGCTTATACCATCGAATTTCTCTGAAAGGAAGCATGAAGTAAGCTTGTGTTCTTCAAGCAAACTGCCAATCTGTCTGACTCTCACTATGTTTATTAAGTTGTATGTATTGAGTATTCCAATGCAAAAAGACTTTACTCAGCCACATTTGGCATTAACAGACTATATATTCCAAAACTGCTTTTTTTATGACAATTATTTAAATATTCTTCTGCTCTCTGCAGTAACTGCAAACTGTTAACCATTAGGCCACATAAAAAGTGTGACTAATAGTTATGAAAACACTGCACAGAACTTAGCTTACAAGAGAACAGAGTACTCATGCCATTGTACGTTTCACAGTGAATTTATGGCACCTTGTGTTATTAAGATAATACGGTGGTGATATATTTCCCTTTACTGAACATCCCTCACAAGAGTGCAGAGTGCTGGAACTTTAGAGATGAACATGCAATAATTTTCCCTATTCAATCAAATTAGAAGGTCAATAGGTGCATCTTGGGTAGGGGGTATGATTACCAGAATTAATCTTCAGTAGCACTGATGTAGAATAGAGGCATGAAAAAAAAAACCATAAAACAATATAGCACTTATTGCTAATAAAGCAGTGTGGAATGAATACAACTGCGTACCATTAGATATCCCTTTTTTGACCTTGATAAGGGTCAAATTTAGGGGGAATATGAGTACCTTAAAATAAATAAAAAATACAAACAATAGCAGGGCTAACCATACTGTTATCTTAGCCATAATATAAAATAGTCAGTAAGAGATCCTCTATTTAAAATATATAAATAATTGAGAATACAATATAAAATAAGGATTGTCTTGGAAGCAATAACGTTTTGTCTTTTTATATATTTTATTAAATAAAAATATAAATATAGACATTTAAAATCCATTACAATCATTTATAGCATAGTTTATAAGATTAAAGCATATGCTTGCAATATTATCAAAATAGAATAACATACCCTCTTGAACATGTTAACATCTCTCAGTCATTATAATATTGAGCAGTGTCTCTGTCTCCAAATCTCTCCTCTGCATGCTAACATTTAAAAAGTACACATGTTTATATCTTAGATGTTCAGTTGGCAAAGATATAAGGCAATAACGCAAACGTAAGGGTGCACACGTAATGGGAAATCCCCTGACTTGGGGAATTTCCATTATCCTAGGACAAAATGGAATAAATCAGGATGACGTAGCATAGCCTTGAAGATGTTACGAATTACTTGTTTTTGTATTGAGCCAAGACAAATTGACATAAACATATTATGCACTGAAAGTAGGTAAGAGGTTATTGCTTAAAGAAACATGTATGAAAAACAATATGTTCCATTTCTAACACCTTGTCAGTTTGCAATATCATAAAGACAAAGTACACAGTTTACAAAATACAACTTTGCATTCTAAAACTTGTAATATTTGCATTTTTCCCTAACAACATAATGTTTCCTTAAAAGTAATCCAGACTACCCAATTATCTGATAAATTATTTTTGTTATTTGAATCAGTGTTGTATTCAACATGTAATATATTTATGTGTTTCTAGTATTTCTTAGCAGTTGCAGTAACAGTTATTTCTTAGCATGCTGTCATGTCCGTTATGCTGAATCAGAATACATGGCACAAGTTAGATAACAACTATTTAAATAATGTTCTAGCCTAATGTTCTTGCTTTGTTTTATAAATGGTGGGGGTGTGGGGGGGAGGGGGGAAGAAGGCTGATGATAACTAAGACAGTCCTTTATGTAGACAGTATAGCTAATAAACATTGGTAATAATGCATGTTTATTAGAGTCTTTGCAAAAAGATAAGAGCGCACTCTTCCAAACTGAATTTTGTGTTTACTTTTTATGAGTTATGTTACAGTATTAATAAACAGATCAGGCCATAAAGGGATAAAGTTTGTTTGCAATATTTGGTCTCGCTTCATTTTATTTTCCACTTGGAATGAGCATATTATGACTGGATTTACACCACAATGCTAGATAATGCAAGGACAGGGTCTTGCACCAAAACTACTCTGGCAAGCTTATTGTTATGTTTGTTATTATTATTATTACTAGCATTTACGTGTTACCAAATTATTCCACAGTACTTTATACAACCAAAAAATGGCTAATGTAAAAACAAATTATACAAAAAATGTTCACATTTTGACAGGAACAGTAGGTTGATGAGTACCCTAGTATTTATTTATAAAATATTTTACAGGAAGGATACATTGAGATTTCTCTTGTCAAGTATGTCCTGGGTCCACAAAACATTATATAAAATATATATGACTGGTGCATGCTGTTTTGAGGTATATTACCATACATCTCTTGAAAATGTTTAGATTGAATGAAGATTTTACTGTGTCCCAGAGGTTATTCCATAATTGCAGTGTTCTGTAGGAAAATCAGGAATGAGACTTTATTTTATTATTGCGGTATGCTTAATATCGTGCTCGTACTGGATCGGAGGTTATAGGAGGTGGGAAAAGCTGGGAAGAGCAATCTACTCATGTAGGGTGGGAGCTTCCCAGAAAAGCTCTTATGCACAAGGCTGGAAAGATGAAGAGTGTGTCGGGATTTTCAGCAATAGCCAGTTTACCTCTTTTAACATGTCACAATGATGGGTAAAGTAATTACATTCCAGTACAAAGCCGCAGAACTATATAACATATTAAGTTTATGAAGGGAGGTTTTTGATGCAGGTGCATATACTACATCCCCATAATCAATGAACGGCATTAGCATTTGTTCAATGTGATTTTTTCAATGTGAAGGCCAAAGGATAGATTGGGTTCTAGAAACATACGTAGATATTTGAAAGAACAACTGCAGTCTGTGTGCTATTTAAATTTTTTCTGATACATAGTTGTTGATTTTGTAGTTTACATAATTTATGTACAGTTCCAAAGATCATTGTAACAGTTTTGTCAGTATTTACAAAGAGTTTGTTAACCGCTTTCCACTTTCCTACCTCTGTGACTTGGTTTTGAAGCACAGCCTCACGCTGCGGTAGATTGAGTTTACTAGCGAGTGTAGATTGCAGTGTCGTCTGCATATATGTATACAGTTGAGGATTTGCATACATTGGGCAGATCATTTATAGATAATGTGAACAGCACGGAGCCCAGTATGGAGCCTTGTGGAATACCACATGTGACTGGAAGAGGGAGGGAGGCGCTATCAGAAATGGTCACATACTTCAATCGGTCTGATACATATAGTGCCTTGCAAAAGTATTCGCCCAGTGACAGGTTTAGCAATTGC